TAACTTCTGCCGCCTTAATGTTCTTCAATAAGGTTCGCCGTCAACAGTGCCAATGTTCACTTGGCTCCGAAATTAACGTTGGTGCATCTTAATTGTTTGACGTGCTCACGGGCTGTTATAAACTGCCTTGCACAGAACACTCTAATGAACGGCCAGATCAGCCAGGGAGGCTCGGACGCAAGCGCCAACGGCTGCGGACCCAATCAGAGGTGTGCGCTGGTCTTTGTTGCCTGTTGCCCTGGTTCAATGGCCAGCGTCCCATTAAGCAGTCCGCCATTCACGGGAACCCTCGCAAAGAGCCGCCTCCATTTTCCTCCAGAATGCAAGTTCCAAACGAGTGGGGCAAAAAAGGGTTTGATATTCCCAGCAGACCGCACACGACACAACGCACCAGGACGAGGCAGAACGCGTGGGCCTGCGCCTTCCGGAGGGCGACTGACGCTGAGCGGGCACTCCCTCCGCAGCGCCGTCATCCTTACGGCACGGCCCCCCAGGCGGAACCCGCTCAGGACGACTGCGAAAACGACTCCATCTCCTTGGGCTCATTCCTCCGGATGACGGGACCCAAGGGCCCGTGGACCGTGATGGCTGGGCGGACAACATCCCCCGAAATACAATGCCGCATCGATTGTGGTCGCCCCAGTACACTCCTTTTACCCCGGTGCATGTTCGGCTCAAAGAGCCAGTGCGCCACCAGCTGAGGCCCCGACCACGGGCACACGCGGCACCGAGCCGGCCGCTGGGCCGGTGGCGGGCCCCCCACCGCGCCCCTCCCCCCGCGCAGCGCGCGCCCATCTGCCTCGCCTGGCCAATCTCCCTGACTGCGTCGACCATGGTGCGCAAGCCCCCCGAGGAGGTGTTCAGGCTGCCGGAGCCGCCCCCCTCGCCGCTGCTGTCCGAAGATGCCTGCCAGGTGGGTCCGCGGGCGAGGGTGCCGGAGCTGGGAGGCTGTCCGAGTGCGCGCTGCGGGCGCCCAGCTGACGCCGCTTGCCCCGCGGGCTGCCTTGTCCTCAGGCGGTGGTTGGCGTCCTCGAGAAGTATGTGAACATAGCCAAGGGCTGGAGGCACCGGGTGTTCGTTGTCCAGCGCGGGGTGCTGCGCTACTACAGGGTGAGTGGCGCGTCGCGTGCCGCTGCGCCTGGCCGCTGTCGCGGAGTGTGTGCGTGCGCCATTATGCGCCAACTGCTTTGAACGCCTCCTCCCGCTCTGCCGCAGGCGGACCAGTCGCTGAATATTCACGCCCTCATGGAATCGCTGAAAGAAATGGGGGAGGTGAAGGTGATTGGCTTGGAGCTGGGGATCCTGCTGAAAAGGATGGACAGGTGGGGCCGACAAGCCGATCGAGATATTTGCACCGTATTTGTCAGCGTGCCGTGTTTTCCCAGTTCCAAAAGCCCTGAACGCTGGTGACGGCTCACTGCAGGGCAGGGAGTCCTTCGGACCAAGCGATCACTCCGCACGGGGAAGCGCATCTGCAGGTACCTGGCATATGTTGGCGCGGATTTTGTGTATTGTGCGTTGGTGGTTTGGCAGGCCAGAGCTGCAGCTGTCGTGGTTGTTTGTAGCCTGGGGCTGCCACCGTTTTGGGCTCTGCATCTTCAGCGCAATAGCTTGCAGGATGCACACAATGCAGAAGTGCCCTTGGCAGCTGATTGTTGATCTGCTGGGGTGGCCTGCAGGTGGCGCAAATCCGGGAGTCAAAGTCTGGAGATCGCAAGCGATTCTCAGTTCATAGTGGGACAAAAAAATTGAATTGCAGGGCGGAGTCAGAGTGAGTTCGGCAAGGTCAAACGACAACAAGTTCTTATTTGTGATTCCGTAACGGCCACCTTGATGCCACATTTCTGGACAAGGTCATGACCACACAAATGTGCTGTTATGTGTGCAGAATGGACAAAGATGCATGGGTGGAAGCTCTGCGGCAATCGAAGGTACGCTTTCAAGGCTGTCAGCCGATTTTTGTACTGTTTCATCGTGCTTCAGTTGTTCTTGTGTTCCATTCTTACGATTCCCTGCCTCCCCCATTCCTTCAACAGCTGCATGTGCTGCTGATTATGGAAGGCAGTGCCCTTGGGAATGTGCTTCTTGTGTCTTGGAATATTTCCGATGTAGCATGGCTGAACTTTGAATCTTTGCTGAAGTCAAGATTTGTGTCTTAGGCAGTTTGGGATGGTGCCAATGGTGGCTACCTGTTTCCTCCAGTGGAGGTGTCTGCTGAATCTCCCAACAGCAACAGCGGGTATGGTGCTGGGCATGGCTGGCAGACGCATGCCCAAGTTCATGGCCTATTGCACACACATAAAACACTGCCATGTGCACCTTTGGCCCATGTATTCCCTTAGCTGCATCCTGCAACATGGACCGTTTAGGATCACGACAATCCTAAGACACCGTGTGCATGTGCATGTGTTTGCTTGCTGACACCAGTCAAAAAAGAGGGCACAATCTAATGGCACTCAGAATTCGAGCTATTGGCATTTGTTGTTCTCCTGAACAGTAGCCAAGAACTGCATTTGTAAACTTCAGCATATCAATAAATTCTCAAAGGGGTGACTTGACCTGTAAGAGAACATCTCAAGTTCCGCACCAGCACAGATTGCAGAAGTAGTGACTGTGGATGGCGGAACTCTTGCAGGCCGATTTCCAGGTCGTTTGAGGACACCACACTGCCAGCTGTGCGCCAGCGCCTGGTGGATGGGGGGGTGTCACATGAGCTCTCTCACTTTGTTGAAGAAGTTCTCATGGAGCAGCACAGGTTCTATGTGAACTACATGTGGCAAGAAGGTGAAAAGAAACGCAAGCTGCTTTCATATCTGCAAACTGTGGAGGTGAGCGATGAAGGATAGTTCCGTGGCCATGTCCTTTACAAGGCTGCAATTGATACACTTGTGTAAACTCTACAACTTTTTGTTGTTGGTGTGCACACAACTGGGTTACTCTGTCCGTTGCCAACAAAGAAGCCTTTGTTGGCCCAGCTGTTTTACGATTTTGAGCCAAACTGCGGCTTATAGTATCCTGTGCGTTTTGTGTCTGTATTGTCTCTTATTGCAGCGGCAGTTAGCATATTGGAGTCGTGCTGCTGTGGCAGGAGGAGAAACGTGAACTGGAGGCTCGAATACTGGAAGAGAATCGAGGTGCATTGGTTGAAATGGCGCAGTCAGAAGGAGCAGTAAGTGCACCACAAGCTGTGGGTGTGGGATGCCTGAAGTTTGTTGTAGAGTTGGCACGACAGGGACAGGTGGCCTTTGAAAGCCTGTGGATTTCAGTGGAGCGCATGGAATTTGCAGCACACAGTTGTTCATGCTGTTTTCATTTTGCCATGGGCCTTTGTGCCCAAGGTTTCATCATTTGCAGATCGCAGGATGTGCTGTCCGTATTTCCAGCCCCCATTTGCAGTCAAGTTGTGGAGAAGCAAAGCGACTGAATGGGGTGTGCTTCATTCTGTGCCCAACATCACATCTATGTGCAGAATTCTGACAGTCTTTGTGCACCAGTTTTTTACCACAGAGGAGCAGTATGAAAACGGAGAGGAACGGGACTCAGCAGATGCCAGTGGCGAGGATGATGTTGAGGAAGTGTTCTACGAAGCTACTGACAGCTTGCCTCTTATTGACAAGTGTCAGAACGATGTTGCACAGGTAGGAAGGTGCATAAGCAGAGCACTGTTGTCTGAAATGTGCTCTATGACCTCATTGGCTCAATCAATGTGCAGTGGCAAAGTTGAAGATTGTTGTGTGGTGAATGGAAAATTTGTCACACAACTGTAGGAGCAGCCATGCTGGACACAGTTCTTCATCGCTGCAGTTTGTGACATACAAATGCTTGTGATCTTATGTGCCTCACCTCTGGATGTGCAGGCACAGTTGCCACCTTTGCCCAGCAAGCCCAAAAAGGCAGAGAGGACCGCATCTGCCCCAGTTGGACCTAATGACAGCTTCCCAGGGCCTTCATTGTTTGGGGGCAGCAGCCTGCAAAAGTCTCAAAGGACTGCCTCAGACCCTGTCCAGGCAGCGAGGGAGAGATCTCAGCAGGAAGGGGCGTCAACGTCGACAAGCAGGGGGCACAGAGAATATATGGACTCTGCAATTGCGGAGTCCACAGCAAGGCTAAAGGACTGGCTGAGGTAGTATAGATATCCAGTCTTCATTGATTGTTGTCTGTGCATTAGCTCAGTGGCCTGAATGACAGTGCTGGTGAGCACCTGTGCCAGATAAGCAACCTTTGTTATTCCTGCAGCTTAACCAGGAGCCAGGAACAACTTCCAATTTTCTTGCTTCCTATCATTCAAACATGTTAAATGAAGACCCATTGTATGGGCCAGCTGCTGTTCTGCTGGGGACTGCGGTAGCCCTGCTTGGCTGCACCCCACTGCATTTTGTGTTGCACTGTCAGAATTCAGCATGTGTGTGTGTGCATGTTTGTGTTCTGCAGACGAGATGGCCCAGCACCAAAGCGCAGGGATTGTTTGCCAAAACCCAAAGAGAAGGAGAAGACTGTGAGTTTGTGGGCCATAATAAAATCCATGGTTGGGAAGGACTTAACTCGAGTCTGTCTACCTGTCTACTTCAATGAGCCACTATCAGCAATTCAAAGGATTGCTGAAGAAATTGAGTACTCCGAACTCCTTGATGAGGTGAGGAGCCATGTGGAGAATCATGCACTTGTGAGCCAACTGTTGTTGTTTTGTGGATGGTCTCCAATCATGACCTTGAAGTCGCTGGTCAGCTGCACACATTGCAGTGCACGACTGGATGATGCTAGCCGTGGCTGGGCCTGTTTCTGGGCTCTAAGTGGATAGACAATTCTGAATATGACTGGTGACAAAGCACTGATTTTCAGAGGGTAGCTTGGATCTGCTCTCCAGGGCTTCAGCAGTGATGTTTTTGTACCTGTGTGCTTAAATGCTTTGGATCCAATTGCAGCTGACATGTGTGAGAGTCAGTAAGCCATGCTGGGACGCATGTGCCCTTTTTTGGAGCGTCCAAAGTGTGATTGTTGCTGATGAATGGTGAAATTTCCGCAGCGTTTGGCCAAAGGGTGTGTGCTTGTCTGCGCATGATGGTCTTGTATTTTTACTGAGAACTTGGTTTTGGCTTGTCAGGCGTTGAAGCATCCACCTGGCAGCTTAATGCGCTTGTTTCTGGTATCCTCGTTTGCTGTCAGCGGCTACTCTGCAACTGCCAATCGAACAAGCAAACCCTTCAATCCTCTGCTTGGAGAGACCTACGAGTATGTGAGCCCAGAGAAGGTGGGTTTTGCTCACCTTGGTTCCATTTCCATATCCTGCAATACAACACTTGTTTCTAGCGAGTTCCTGTGCATGTGGCAGGGCAGTATGTTGACAGGATGCTGAACCCTTGCAACAGCAGTTACACCCCAAAATGACATGAAGTGCATGACCTTACATGGGCGTGCACTAGGCTGCTGTGCAGCAAGTAGAGAGCAGCTGAGTGTTCATGTACCTGTGGTATTTTCTGTTGGTTGCTTCTAATGAGTGTCATGGTAGGTAAATCTAGAGGGGTTCATGGTGTCATCCTTTGCTGATATGCATTTTCTTGAGTTCTCTTGTTTGGTTTGGGGGAGTATGTGCAATGGTGGGGCGCTGCAGATTGCTTGGTTTTGTTTGCTGCACGGCATCCGATGCACACCTGGACTTCTGTTGCTCCATATCCAAGTCTGCGATGATGGCTTCAGTCACAGCTGATTGCTGCTGGGTCGACAAATCTGCAACAAGACAGTCTTTCCTGCGACTGGAGATGAATGCTACGCTGAGCAACTTACATAGGCAGCTGCCTATACTCACCCCTGTGTTGCTTGTAGCAACCTGCTATGTTACATATGTGCCTGACCAGAGGCATGGCATGCTGTGTGTGCCAAGACTTGAGAGAATTAGAATTGGGAAACAGGGTCATATTTCGTGTGCCAACAATGGTTGCCTGTGCCCATGACACTGAACCAGCCCAGATGTACCCAGGTGCCAAGAGGAAGACCAGGGTACACTTCTGTTCTGGTTGTTGGTATGCTCATGCTACAGCTGCTGGATGCCCATTCACACCCAGCTATTTTGAATGTTGTGTGGCCCAGCTGGTGCTCACTTGTCTGTACTTCTGCTCAGGGCGTGCGGTTCATTGGAGAAAAGGTTGTGCATCACCCCACTGTCTTTGCCATGCACTGTGAGGGCTGTGGCTGGACAGTGGATGCAGATGCTGAGGTGAAGAACAAGTTCTGGGGGGCCAGCATGGAGCTGCATGCTCTCGGAGTGATCAGGCTGAGAACTGCAGATGGAGAAGAGTACAGATGGAACAAGGTGGGAGGAGCACAGAGCTGCATGTTTTGCACTGGTTGGGGCAAGCTTGCTGTTGTGACTAATCCACACATATTGGTTACGTTCTCGTGATGTCTGTTTGCCACAATCCTCAGCAACAGCACTTTATGTCTTTTTCTGCTTTTGGTGTTGTTCTTATCAAAACTGCAGCACGAGTAGAGAGGTGTGTTATTGTAGTCACACGCTGGCATACAGCGCTGATTGCTATGGTAGTGATACAAGTGGCTGGTACACATGAATCCATATCATCTATGTACACCTTTTGTGGAATTTTGATATCATCTGAGGGCACCTTTGTGTGTACTCTGTGGAATGCAAGTGCTTGCAGCAGTGGTGTTGAATGACGACTCGCATTCCAGGAATGTCCAGCTGGATTGCATTTGTTGCTCACAACCAGCAGATGTCGTTACAGCTCCTGATGTTGAGCCGAGTGTATACTGATTCGAGGGGTTCTGGTTGATTATCTGTAGCTTTTTTCCAGCAGAAGATGCTTTGAAAGTGTCATGACACCTGCAGAGTTTGCTGCTGTGCAGGAGAGGCAATGTATTCACATTGTTCTAGCTGGTGTTGTCTGGTTCCTGTGCTGACATGTTCCTTTGTTCACAGGTCACAACATCTATAAACAATTTGATCATTGGAAAACTCTACATCGACCACTATGGTGTAATGAGGGTGCACAACAAGAACACGGGAATGCTTGCCAAGATCAAGTTCATTGAGACAAGTCGATTTTTTGACAGCAACCCTCATCAGGTGAGTGCCTGTGCGCAAGACTACCACACTTGTAGTGAGAAAAGAATCTCTGCCCACTCTGCATGCTTTGAATGCTGCCTTGAAGAAATCCTGCTCAGAGTTGCTGTGAGTAATTGATGCAAACTGACAAAATCTCAGTGGACATTTGTTGTTTGTGGTGAAAGGGAAGACAATATGTCGATTTTGGTACACTCAGCGTCAAATTGACGCTGGGGAGAAGGGTGGGGGTGGGGGGTGGGGGGGGTCCAGACCTGTGACGCTAAGAGATTATGTAAATGCCACAAAATCGACATAAGGAGGGAAGGTGCCCGAAAGCGCCACTGATAAGTGGCAAAGAACCTGTGACATGTTCCTAAGGCCCCTGCAAGTGTTTGATCTACAAAGAAATCCTTAGAATGGATCAATTTGCATGCCCGCCTCATCTATAATGGCATTTAGAATCCAATTTTTAAACCCACTAAAATCAGCACAACTTTGATTGTTTTATTCCTTAAAAACATCTGGAAATTGAATACCACTGTTAGGTAATGTTGCTGAGTCATCCTGGCTTGATGTGTATGTGTGTTGCTGAGTCATCCTGGCTTTTTGCGTGAGTGCGTGCGTGCGTGCGTTCTGAACGTCAAGTTGATGCCAAGTGTACCAAAATCGACATAGCGTCTTCCTTAAGCAATGCATGCATGACATCATGGAGCCAATTTGAACTCAGCACAAACAATCCTTTGGAGATTAGTTGAATTCAAAGCACCAAACAGCCTGGCACCAGTGTCTAGCGGATTGAAATCCCCCAACAGCTGGTGGCAGGTGGGACAAGGAATTGCAGCTGTTCATGTTCTTTTGTGTCCTCATTTTCAGATAAAGGGATATATCGAAGGCCCAAATGGAAAGATACGAGATGCCACTATTCAAGGCAAGTGGGATGGGTCCCTACATGTCGACTTGGGCGATGGAAGGGGCCCCAAAGAGGTCTGGAGGAAGAACCCTCCAGCCCCTGAACCTTCCAAGTAAGTGACAAGACACACTAAGTTGTTGGAACAATGTAAGTCTCCTGTTTGACACGTTGATTAGTCATTGTTGTGGTGTCCGACTATTTGTTGCTCCTTGGGGATGTAGTGTGTATTGCAACCTGGGAGTTGGGGTCAAGGTACTAACGCTGGCCACAATCATGAGCAGTCGCCTTTTGTGATAGCTTATGCTAGTTGAAGTATCTGTGGATATATTAACCTAGGATACCTGTCCCAGTAGAAGTGACAACTAAAGGGCTTGTTGATGCAACAGGGTACACAGGACCCCCCAATCATACCTCCTCCCAGCCCAAGCATGGTGTGCAATGAAAGTCCTTGCTTGAAAGCTAATGTCATTTTACGTGTCGATTGCATTTGTGCAAGATGGCACTAAATCAGCTGAAGGAGCAACTGAACTTCTTAGCCCCACCAAAGTAGATGATGGCCTAGTACCCTGTAGCCAGTGCACTTTTGCAGCCCATCAGGCCACTGCTATCTTTTTACTGTTCTGCAAGCCAGCAACAGGCAGTGTTTCAGGTTGCACACGTCTACAGTTGTTATCAGGATGAAGTGCAGAAGCTTGATTCGTGTATATGGCATGGCAGGTACAACAACACGTTGTTCTGCATGACATTGAACGAGATGACCCCTGGGCTTGACAAGAAAATTGCCCCCACGGACTGCAGGCGTCGCCCAGACCAGAAATGCCTGGAAGAGGGTCTTTACGATGAAGTAAGATACCCACTGCTTAGGCCTGCTTCGGCTTGATTAGTATCGTTTGGCAGTGTTGTGTGAGTTCTTGTGCTTTATTTACTGATTGAATCCATTTTACTGCATGATAATGATCAAGAAGATTGTTGGCAGAAAGCAAATGTGAGCTGCTGTTGTTCATGAAAGTGTACCAACAACTGCATTGTCGTTCCACTGTGCCAGTGAAGACAGCCATTGACGTCCACATATTGACGCCTACCACGGGGCAAAACCTCAAGGAATGTTGAGAAAATAAAATACAAGCTCGAAAGGAAGTTTGTGTCTGCCAATAAGTATTTGACAGCCGGAAACAAGTCACACATTGGAGCAAACCCTCTTTACAAGCCTAAGCCAGGCCCTGTTTCGCTTGCCAACGCCACAGTTGCCACTGTCGACAGAAATGAAAATGAACGCAGGGTGCTTGCAAGTATCAAGTGTTCATCGAGATCTGGTTCAAGGCTCCGGGAACAGGTCAGACACTGGAGCACACCTTCCCTGCAAGAATGCATTGGGCCCTTTGTGGGTTTGCATCACCATGCGAGTGACTAACAGCAACAGTGAAATCGATCTGAAGCAACAGACCGTTACCCCACGTCCATATATGTATGGACGACAGATTTTGCTGAACTGCACATTCCGCTTACCCCTGCTCGTCCCTGTTGTGCCACCCAAGATCAAGAAGCAAGATGGGATCTGCAGCTGCAGGGCGTGTTCACATCAGTACTTCACAGCCTGGGCCTTCTGGTCCCAATATGGCCCAGTGATATCAGTCAGCCACACTGAACTGAAACGACTAGACCAGGTAGCTTTGTAGCTTGTGGGGCAGTTGTACTCCATTCAGTTGATGACTTGAGATGTGCACCGTGCACTTGCAGGCCAATCGCCAAAAGCAGCGACTTGAGCAGAAGCAGAGAGCTGCGCGCAAGGCGGCTGATCGGGGCGACCCCATTCAGCCACGATGGTTTGAATATTCCCCTTCTGCAGCGCAAGGGCAGGAGCCGACCTTCGCGTACAAGGGAGGCTATTGGGAGTCCCGGGATGCGGGCCATTTCGAGGGCTGCAGAGATATTTTTGGAGAGTAATGGTGGTGGGCAAGAACTCGTCGGCGTTGGGATGCGTGGTGCAGGACCCGGTGGCAGGTCTGGATTCGAGCAATCGCCAGTGGAGCATCTAATAAGTTGCGCATGAATGTTGGGGCTGCTTCTGTCGTTGTATTCATCCAACAAATGTCTGGACACTCCCAATGTGCGATCCTGCTTTGAACAACGTCCAGTTGCAGGAGGGACTGTTGCTCAGCCGAATTGGAACGCCCAGTGGTGCCATCACAGGAGACTCTGCTACTTAACTGGTCCACTAGTACAATTTTTTGATCCTGGTGTTGGCTGACATTGGTGGGACATTCCGAGCATTGGGATGTACATTGGCAGCGAAAACACAGGTTTCGCTGAACAAACGATTGGGTTCCATCCTATGGAAGTAGTGATAGTGCAGATTGTAGGGCATTGGTGTGTTGCATTCGTGGTTTTAAGTTGTGCTTGGGGATTTGCTGGGATTCTCAATCACAATCAATGATTGTGAATGTTGCTGCTATTGGGCGAGCTGATGATGTGTCTCCATCCAAGGCAATGCCCATATAAGCAAGCTCCCGGATGGGACACTCCACCGCTGAAGTCTGACCATTGCTCTATGGAAGAGAGCAGTGGCAAGGATCTGCAGTGATGAACGTTAGCCCACATTGAGGTGTCAGCACACCCTTTCACTGGCAGCGCCTTTTGGAGTTTCTGCATCTGTGGGTGGACGGAACGGGCGGCGCAGGTACAGAAGCGCCAAATGAATTCCATAACAGGTAATCATCAGGGCTGGGCTCCCAGGCCCCTCTCGATCTCGTGCACGGCACGGGCCCCACAATTCCACGCTTGGTGGAGCTTACAGAGGGCAAACGCAGGGTTAGAAATTCGGCACCAAAATCGTTTCTTTTAGATCCAAACCACGCTACAAAAAATTGGTATCCTTCATGACACAAGGCGCTGCGGCATCGCGCTGGCGATCACGGCCCTGGCCTTGTCACACAACTCCTGGGCATTTTCTCCCTTGGCCTCCATGGGCGGGTGGACAATCATCCTGACTTCACCCGGGTACATAAATGCTTCCTTTCCGCTGGGCATCATGTCACCAGCCCCAAGCACCGTGATGGGAACAACAGGTGCCCCTGTCCTCACAGCGACAGTGAAGCCGCCCTTCTTGAAGGGCGCGAGCTTCTGGTCTACGCTCCTTGTGCCCTCGGGGAAGAAGAGCAGGGATGCGCCCCTTGACAGCAACCGCTCGCACTCTTGCAGGACTCTGAGCTGGCTGCGGCGGTCGACTCTATTCAGCATGACGTGGCCTGCGGCAACAGCAAGCTCTTGTAGACACAGTCACGACAATGGCGTCGGCAGAAGAAGACCTGTGCGCTGTGGCATGTGGTCCCGTGGCCGCAATCTAGGGGCACTGTTTCTCACAGGGCACGCCGTCAGCACTCGATGTTTCGCGCGTTGTGATCGAATGCGGCCCGGAAAAGTTTGCAAATATGGGTCGACGGCAGATCGAAGGAACCTGGTGCCACTCGCACTGCTGTACTGAGTCCTGTGCACATTGCAACCAACGAACTGAAGGGCCACAGACTGGACGCAAATGCCCAAGCGAGAGGTGCAGCATGTCGGGGATTGACTCGCCCAGCCCATGCTCAATAAACAGGTGGCCCCACACGTCTACTCGAGGTGATCCGCTTGCTGGGTTCACAGTCCAAGAAGGATAAAACCTTGGACGGGGCCTCACTGCTGAATGCGACATGATCATAAACGTTGTATGGCAGGCTGTCCATTGGCCACCGCTGTCGTTCCGTGACCATGGCAGCTAATCGTGGGACCACAGTATGAGCAGTGCATGTCCAGCTCACAGCAAGCCGAAGCGGAACACAGCCAACCCTAAGAGTCGGATCCGCAAGCCACAGGTTTCAGCACACGGGGCGCGAGGAGACAAGCACTGCAGACCCCAGGCGCAGTATGAACGCCGCCAATACCTGTGAGAAACATAGACCACCCAACAATGGGTATGTAAAATATACTCGACTTGGAGATGAATTTGAAGCTTCTGTTTAAGTGGAACAAAGAAAAGATGTCCTGCCGAAAGGTACACACACTACAGTCAGCCTCAACCTCCAGCATCAAACAACAGCATAGCTAGTTTACAGGCATCGGATTGACACATTCTGAGAGGAATTCGGTATCCTGCTGGGCACGCAGCGAGTTCAAACATACGACATTGCTATCCACCGCAGCATTGGTTTGGCTTTGCGTTTTCAGCAGAGGGGCCGCTGCGTCATGCACGCCTAGAACATGAATGCCAAGGGGCCATAATGCGAATCCCTCCCGCTTTCTCAGGTTCAAAGCATTTGCATTCGCACTCAAATGGCCTCCTCAATCCGTGCTTGGAACAACAAAAAGAGGTTCTTTTGATAAAGACGCGGATTGAAATGGACATGGCTGTACAATGTGCCATAGATTATCTACAGGACCTTGATCTTGGGGAAAATCGTCTCACCTGGATCATTGCCCAATTACACATCCAGTCATGCATTAAACCCTCTGGCACAGCAACGTGGCGTGTTGCCCTTTTTTGGCCAAGCAGCGGAATCAATAAACGACTCTTTTCCAGAGATACGCTGAGCAAAAATGTGGTTGGGAAAGCGACACACAAACGCACTAGCCCACAGTCAACAGGTTTGAATTGAGTTGCCCCCTCCCTCCCCCCGCCAGCTGGCTGTTCACTTCCATCTAGCATTGGTATTCCATGCAACATCTGACACAGCCAACAAGGACACGTCTGCACATGTCCGCACTGCCACCCCGCCTGTTCCTTTGCTCCTGTGCCGCTTCGCGATACACACTGCCAAGCGAAAAGAATTTGGCAATGCTAACTGGGGGAGATGCTCAGGAACAAACCCCTGTAAAGCCAATGTTTGATTTCAAAAAATGCCAAGAGGTATACCATACTATGTCCTAAGGATCTGCAAACGGACATCGGCACATGATCGCACCTAAGGCAGTCGCGCTTCGTGCATTAGGCCCCGATCAAGTGATGCGACCCATTGGCACTTTCTTTCCTGCAGTGATGTGGCAGTTTGGTGTGTATTCATGCAGGACTACACTTACAAATGTATCACAGGTAAGAATATATACGCTCATTACCACTGCGACCTCACGAACATTGCGGTTGCTATGAAGACTATGGGTCAATACAATACATTGGCCATGCGATTGCAGGGTGGAATGCAAGCACAGTATGCAACATCAATAACAAAACTCTGATGCTTGCAGTGCATGGGCATGATCAACGAGAAGAGACATCGGTCAGTTTGCACGTGGCATGGATTGGGCCAATGAGCAGGGTATCCAACCAGAAATGCTCTTTTGCACTGCACAAATGAAGAATTTGGGATAAGATCTCGGCCACAATTTCAACTCAGTGAAGACATGCTGTGCAAATGCCCAGACAAAATGGGTGGGACACAGTTGGAGGTGATCAGTTCACCTCAGCAAGAAATGGGCAGCGGACGCAATTATTTTATTGAGAGCCACATCAAGGGCTCCAGAGATGGCACGACGTACCAAGAAGCTTTGATGATTGGCAACGTACACAGCTGCCTGAACGTTCGGGGGCAGATGCTGTCGGCCCTCAATCTGCAGCGCAAGCTTGTGTCTCAGGATGATTTCGGCCAGCAAAAATGCGGTGCAAAAGCTTGGTGCAGCAGAGCATCCCTGACTCCTCACCTTGACCCTGTAGAATGGGAACGAGCCCAACTTTGCCCACAGTGTGTTGACGGCATGTTGCGCCCTTCGGCTGCGTCACAAAACAGCGGCATGGCATACTCTGTGAGGAACGCTTCCCTCATAGACCTTGAACCAACAAGACGTTGCCAGCGCACCAGAATCCTGAGCCCACCGGTATTTGTCCAGCTTCAGTACTATCGGGTAAATCACCAGCATCACTACGAAGAGTGGCACTGCGATTAAGGCTGTCCACAAGTAGAAGAGAGTCGCCCTGACACGAGCCCAAAGCTGCATAAGCCCCTCTCCTGGTGCTGCACACAAGAAACAGCAGTATGAGACATCTGCAAAACCCTCACCCGTCTAAGATTGCAAAATGTGGCGGTCATCACCCTGAAGATGCTCTGTCAATTCTGAAGGAAGCGCCCAAAGCAGAAGTAAATACGACCAGTCGATACTTTGCCTGGGATATCCAACAGGCAGCAGGGACGGAATCAGTTACACACAATGTGCGGCCTGTGCGGAGTCACCACGCGCTGCTATTAATCAAGGCTACAGGCGTACAAAAATCAGGTAATGTAGAGCATTGCACTTTTCGGCTATGGACGGCGGGCCAAATGCCTCACTTGCGAGCGGACGATAGGCATCCTGGTGACCGGGAAAGCGACGGTGTCTGCCAACCTACATTGGCGGATCTCTCCCATTGCCGCCGCGGCTCCATCCGCACTGCTGTGCGCCACCAATCGCTCTGTCGGTTTGCAAGAAGGGCCCCGGAGGTGGGGTCCGGGGACAGCATTTGGCGCGGAGGTGGATGTCCAGCGGGCCGACGGCGGCGACACTCGTGACCTTGGGCGGAGGGCAGGCAACCCCTTGACGACCGTCACCCCTGCGCGCTTCCCAAAGGTACCAGGGGCGCGGAGAGGCGCTCCGCCCAACATACTGGCTGCACGCGGGGCAGGAACAGGCCCGCCCGCCTGGGATAGCGGGAGGCGGGCGCGTGTACGGTTTAGGCATCGTATTCGCGCATCTATGCATCCCAGAGATGCATCAGGCACAATCCAAGGCGGCCTGACTGGATGCCTTCAACGGGGAGCCCATGGGTACCGTTGCTCGCGCGAGTGGTGCTTCCTTGCCACCGCAACGCCACAGGCCGAGCAGGGTGACCCAATGCTGATCAGAACTGGCAAGATTTCCTTCTTCCCGACGGCCTCGTCGCCGCTGTCGCGCGTCTTCAGTGCCCTGCAGCGCGAGAAGGCGAACACCAGCCGCTGCGGAGCCGTCCAGGGCGCGCCCGGGAAATGCGACCATCCGCTGTCAGTGCTACAGTCTGCGGCATGGCTCCGCACCGCTGATAAGGATCTGCCAAGGGTCCGCCACGGAGAGGGGACGCCAATTGTGCTCGGATCAACGGATCAATGGTCTTCCAATGACGTTTTGATGAGTGGGTGAGCGGAAGACACCGATTTCTGTTCATGGCGGCGGATTCTGCACCGTCAATCGGTGCATTTCTCGTTCTTGTTATGAGCGCTTGCGGTCGGTACAGCGCAAATACGGCCATTGCAGCGGCCAAGATGTTCTGCGCTTGGATGCCAGGTGCGAGGTGGGCGGCCCAAGGTTGCGCGTTGCGGTGCTGTTGAGCGGAGGGGTGGACAGCAGCGTAGCTCTTGCCTTGCTGAAGGCAGCCGGCCACGACGTGCGGGCGTTCTATCTGCAGATCTGGTTCCAAGAAGATTTTCGGAATTTCTGGGATGCATGCCCATGGGAGGAGGACATTGGCTTTGCAGAAAAGGTGGACACACTTGCTGTTGCGGTCCTCAACAACGGAACCTAAGTTCAACGCATCCTGGGACAGTCTAGGCAATGGTCCCGGCCATGCGAATGTGAGCCCTGCTGCTCAGCACAGCAGTGCGATTGGTAACAACTTGCCATTGTCCAAGGTCCTTCCTTGACTGATTGTGCCAGAAAAGTAAAATCGGGCCCTTTTCTTATCTGCTGACACTTGTTGTTGGCTGTGCATCGCTAATGCAGGTGCTTTCCATTCTGGCAGTTTTCAACTTGTTTGTGTTGCTGGGTCCTGACGTGCAGTCCAGTGCTGTGTGCAAACTGGCCACCTTCCAACAGATTGGCAAGGTTCTCCTTGTAATAGCAAAGTTTGTAATGCCAAACTGCTGAGGCAGTGGTGGCAGTTGCATCATGACACAAGTCTTTGCCTGGCAGGTATGTGCACGTTTAGGAGTTCCTCTTGAGGTGGTGCCGCTCTCAAAGGAATACTGGAGTCGAGTAGTAGTGCGCAGCATATCACAAATAAAGAGAGGATACACTCCCAACCCCGATGTTCTGTGCAACTCTGAAGTCAAGTTTGGTGCCTTTTACGATTTTCTGGAGAAGCACAGTGACAGTTTTGACCGCATTGCTTCGGGTCACTATGCTGGGTTGGTGAGGGATGCCAATCAGCAGTTGGTCAAGCTTGCTGTCACTACTGATGCTATCAAGGATCAAACATACTTTTTGGCACGACTTGAGCAGCAGCAGCTTGCAAAGGCGATGTTCCCTTTAGGTGAGCCCCAGGTCTGGACAGGGGGGCTTGGGACTTGGGATTGCTGTGCATTTCTCCGACTCTTTCTGCTTCGATTTACATGCAATGTTGTGCAGTCCTGGTATACAACAGTTTTGTTCCAGTGCACAATCTCTCAATTAAATGCTTGTAGTTATTTTGGCGTGTTGCGCACTACACAAAGTGGACAGGGAGAGCATAGGTTGGTTGCCATCTGCACACAACTGTGGGAGGGATTCCAACCATGTGCATTGACAATTGAGCATGACTAGAGTCTGTGTTTGTGCTGGGCTGTTGTTGGAGAACAGCTTTTCAGACACTTGTCAAGTACAGTTCACGCCTGCGTTCAATGTCACTCTGCTGGGCACATAAAGATATTGGCTGCATGCTGGTGCACACCGCCTCCAGCAGTGCCGTAGCTATTTTGGATGCAAAATCGTTGTCATGGTGTCACAGGGCCAGTTTTCGCACTGCCTGGCATCGCTTAACTCTAATTGCTGCTTTGCAGGGCGACTAGATAAGTCCATTGTCCGGGAGCTAGCTAGAATTGCTGGTCTGCCAACGCAGTTTCGAAAAGATAGTCAAGGTATATGCTTCCTGGGGAAGGTTAAATTTAATGAATTTGTCAAGGAGCACCTTGGGGAGTGGCCTGGACCCCTGTTGGAGGAGGAGACTGGACAACATTTGGGACTGCACAAGGGCTATTGGTTTCATACGATTGGGCAACGGACGGGTTTGGGACTTGCAGGGGGGCCATGGTGAGTTGGCTGTCAACTTTTTGGTAACACTCTTCTCTATTCAGCGGATTGCAAAGGTCTTCATTGCCATGCTTTGAAAGATAACGAAGTACGGTCGTTTCTCATATCAGGCCACATACAGCATTGTTTAAGAGGATATGTGTTTGTCCCCTGACTTCAGCAGGTAGCTGAAGAGACATGTCGATCTGCTGCAGTCACCATTTTTTGTTGAGCCACAGTGCCTCTGGTCGCCTCACCACAAGACTTGGCCCCCACTTTGGAAGTGTTGCCACATTGCTGCTGTATCATCCACAAGAGATTGAGTGGGCATTCAGTTGTGGGAATTGTCATGATTGTAATCTTCTGGTTGTATTACAGTAGGTTTGTTTGGGGCTTAAGAGCGTTGGACGAACGAAGGCACCAAAACCTCCCCATGTGGCCACTGTGCCTGCAGCTTTCATTGTTTCCACTGCTGTGGTGCCGTTTCGTATAGTGCGATGAGATGTCATATCAGCAGTTTGTCTCTTCCTGGGTTTGCCAGTTGTATTGCTGCGTGCTGTGGTACCCAGGTATGTTGTTCGCAAAGACATCGATTGGAACGTCGTATTCATATCTCAGAACTACAGCGCATTGGAGGAGAACCGCGGCAGCTTCAGGTGCACCTCAGTAAATTGGATAAGTGGTCCCCCTGAACCAGACAAGCAGCTGTACTGCAAAGTGCGTCATGGCCCACACTCATACGCGTGTGAACTGGTGGTTGATGAGAGGGGTCATGGGACTGTGACGATTCATGGACGCGATCAGGGCCTTGCAGTGGGTCAATATGCTGTCTTCTATCAGGACATGATTTGCCTTGGTTGTGCAGTCATAGACTGGGTGTGAGAGTTGCTGTGTGATATCTGTGGGCAGTTTGAATAGCACGTACCCGGATGTGCTTAGGTTGGGAAGTCCAGGGTTCAATAGGCCTAGTTTCTTCTACAAGGTATGTTCTCACGAAAGGTTCTATATACTTAGGGAGGGAAGAGACATCAGTTCGCTTGTTGCCATGGACCTGGTTTCTTCGTCAATTTGCCTGGCATACTTGAATGGAACCATTGGGGGCTGGATTTGTACAACCCATCTGCTATGCTGCATTAGCAGGATTGGGATACGAAGCGACTAGAAACCTGGGTTGCTTTTCTTCCACCTTACTCCGCCATTCTTCTGCTCCCAAAATCGCAGTCGCAAGAATGGGCGAAATGTGCCAAGGTCAATGTATATTGCATAACAGCATGGCTGTGTGAGGGCATGCCCTCCAGCAGTTACTCCCATGGACACAAAAGCGGGGTCATGTAAAGGGCGACGCCGCCTCCTAATGTACGCGAGGGTAGCAAAGCAAGCTAGTTTTGAGTAGCTCCTAACGAGGCGCCAGAGCAGCCCTTCTCTACTGCGATAGGTGTAGTCCATGCAGACCTACACCAACGAACAAACCAGCCGATGGACATTGCATGCCGCTAACACGACGACCTAAAGCGCACCCAGCAATCAATACCTGCGCAGGAAGGGGAAAGCTGCGTTCCGATGTCGGGGGAGGCACCAGCTCCGTGTGAACTTCCGAGAGGGGCGACCGAAGCGCTGGGTTGCACCCGTGCCAGGTACACCGCCGCAGCCCACCCAACACCCGCAATGCGTCAAAGACCGTGGCGCCCCTTCCCATTACCAATCTTGCGCAGCATCCCGCCCCTCCTTCGCCCCCCAATTCATTCCTGTCCTTCGCCCCCGCCCACCCGCTGCCTCCGACAGAGTGGCCGGCGACACTCCTGAGTCGCTGCCGCGCCCACTCCACGGCCGCTCGCCGCCCCGCCCGCCACGCCCCTCCTCCCGATCGCCCGCGCAGCGCGTCAGACCTCCGGCAGGGAAGCCCCGAGATGGCCACGGCAGCCGCAGCCCGCCAGCCGGACCAGGCCGCAGCCCCGCGACCGGCGGCGGCGGGGGCGGGGGGCCAGGCGCCCAAGCACTCCCTCTACGTTGGCGACCTGGACAGGGAGGTGGACGAGGGCCTGCTGTACAACATCTTCTCAAAGGCAGGTCCCCTGGGCGCCAATCCTGCCAACTGTTTCCCCGTTCTTCACCGTGGCTGCTGTTGTGTGCGTGGCGTTTGGGACGGTTGGGCGATCCATGACCGGCTTTGCTGTCGTGTGGGCGCAGGTTGGCCCCGTGGCGTCCATCCGTGTGTGCCGCGACTCAGTCACGCGCAGGTCGCTGGGCTACGCCTACGTGAACTACATCCCATCGCTGGACCCGCACGCAGGTTAGACGAAATCGGTGCCGGGCCGCCGCGCCAAGGCCGTTTGGCCGTCACCGGACGGGGTCCCGAGGCCGCGCCGGGGAGCTTGGGACGGGGCGGGAGGGTTTGCGGGCGCGGGAAGGGCGCGATGCCGTGGGGGGGCATCGACGCACGTGGCTTCGTGCCCCAGCGTCTCGGCGTGACGGAGGCAGGTGTCGGCGGGGCGCGACGCGCCCGGTGCCGCCGCGCCGCCGACATGCGTCTCGTCGCAGAGTTGAAACGGGCGCCCTGGCGAGAAAAATTGTGATCGCGGGCGCATTGGTTTTGGGCATGGCGGCTGCCGCGAGCCGCTCCCGGCGGCCCGCAATGCCGGCATGGGCCCTGGTGATGTCTGGGACAGTCGTGCCCTGTGGAGGCTTTGGGCGCCCGCCGGCCCCCCAGAGTTGCTGCGGTCTCTGTTGTGCGTTCTTGCGGGCAGGATCTAGTCGCAACGCTGTCGACGAATCTCGTGGTTTTTTGGCTTCCAATCCGTAGCTCGGCATTGCACAGCTCGCACCTGGTCGCGTGGGTTGGGAATGACTGGTGCCCTGGGCGAGTGACGCAGGCCTTGCACCCGCAACCCTTTCTGTTGGTGATTGCCGAATCCCTGTTGCGTTGATCCTGCAGCCGAGAAGGCCCTGGAACTTTTGGCCTACACCACAGTGAAGGGGCGGCCCATGCGGATCATGTGGGCCAACAGGGATGCATCCCAGCGCAAGTCCGGTGTGGGGAATGTCTTTGTGAAGGTGAGTCGCCACCGTTGCTCGGCGGGTGTCCAGGCTTTGCTTGCACTGGGTTGGGTGTGGGCAGCAGGACCATTTTTCAGGCGTGTCTAATTCTTATCCTGCACCATCACCACTCTCCATCGCGTGCAGAACTACGCATGGGCTGGTTTTTGCATGTCAGGATGGGACAACTGAACTTGCCACCCGTTTGCCAAGCAGGGTCTGAATAATGACATCGATTCACGCACCCTTCATGACACATTCGAAGTGTTTGGAGGGATTACATCTGCTAAAGTGGCCAAGACTGAAGATGGCATGCCACTTGGGTATGGGTATGTCCAGTATGAAAAGCCCGAATCTGCAGAGGCGGCTGTGCAGAAGGCCAACGGCATGCTGCTTGAAGGGAAGCAGCTGTACGTTGCACACTATACAAACAAAGAGCAACGGGGAGGTGTCAAGGGCTTCACAAATCTATATGTGAAGAACCTTCCTGCCCGAATCGATAGCGACGACAAGTTGGTTGAGTTGTTCAAGGAATTTGGGGACATCACAAGTGCTTGGCTGGCAAAAGCTGGGCAGGTAAGAGAGAATTCTTGTGTATGAGCATGTTAGTACGATTTGGGGTGTGCGCACGCCCAAGGGAATCTTCTTGAAGGTATATGGTGTATGAAGCAACGAGTGGGGGCTTCGGTGCTTTTTTGTGGAGAG